TATATATACACTCACTCACTCACTCACTCACTCACTCACACACACACATATATATATATAAAGAATGCAACAAAACAATGTAGATTAATGTAATAAAGCCGACGGTATAAGATATGACGCAATTAACAAATGCATGGTGGAAGACTACAAACACATATGATATCACACATACAACAATATAGAAGCTCGATTCATCTCTCAGACAGACATACGTCGCTAACCAATCGAATGCCTCCACCGCCGTAGCCATGGCGACAGCACGACTCTCGACACAGCACTGTCGCTCTCCGCACGTTCGTCCTTGATCTGAGCACGCAGACTCACGCTGTTCCTTTTGGGCATTCTCTGCACCAGATTCGTCACCCGCAACTGATAAACTCTTCTTGATAGTGGTCGCACCTAATTGGCCCATTTTATCAATTGGACCATCTGATTGGCTATTGAATGAAACATGTCTCCGGTGTGTTTTCGCCCGTTGTTTTGAACCCGGTTCCGGCTTCAGTGTCGATTTCAAATTCGATTTCAACTCAACTCCCGTTGTCTCCCATTTGCCTGAAGCGAGTCGGGTATATGAATCTACCGTTGCCATGGTAACGGACAACACCGACGCATCCCACTTCGAACACGTGTCCAGAATCTGAGTGAGTGTTGCTGCGATGCGCATGCTTCCTAGTGTATCAGTCGATCCCACGTCAACGTCAAGGCCAACAGCACGTGTTCGGTCTTCCATGGGTGTGTACGGAAGTTCCATCGATACATTCTGAGTTTCACCGCATGCACAGGCTTCACACACACACACTGCGTGTGTGTCTAAGCTCGCACTCTCAGCTGGACAAGTGCCTTTAGGTGTGTGTCGGTGAATACTCCCCTTTTCAGAGTCACTCCTCCTTGTCTTCCCTTTACCACCGGATCTACCGTTTGTTGGCAGCAAGCCTGCACCAGTTGAGTCTCTGTTGTCATGCCAACGGACTGTGCGCATGTACCGCAGTACAGCTGATGCCCCACTGTACGCTGGGACAAACAATGGTCCGTCTAAGCCTACACTCACCCCCTTGCTGTGGCTTTGGGTATTGCCTACCACCTGTCCGATATCATGCAAAAGTACAATTGTAATATACGTCTAACGCCCAAGACAGGAAAGAATTTGCGACCAATACAGTTCTGAATATTTCTATGTCGAATAGGGTCATGATCAGCCTACATGTCCTATTTATAAAACTGTATATAAACAAATATTACTGCAATCTCATACAGCTTCAAACAGCGTCAAAAAGAATACATACACACTACCACAGTATATATATATATATATATATATAGATCACAACTTCTATACATACATATGTATATACGACCTGATCTTTCCAACCTCATGAAAGCACATATATGTCTACATATACACACAACGCATACTAGCAAAAAAATAACACACACTTGATATAGTATGCACATGGTCACCCATAGACACAGCTCACAAACAGACTTTCGAGCTTCAGCAGATGATATGTATATATTTTGACACCTAACGGACTTGAACACACGCATACACACTTACCTCGGGGGTGGCCAGCGATGTCAGTGGACCCTCACAACTTGCCTGCAACAAATCCTCGCATATATCCCCTGCGAAACGCGTGTCCAACAAACCCGTTGCCATGGCAATGGATGTGATGTCATCCCAATCGCAGATGGTGCCCACTACTCCGGGGTCGGTATGTGTCTGTGTATGGGCTGTTTCGAGTAGGAGCATGATGCGCACTATGCTTGTGAGCGTACGTGCACATACAGACATGTCTAGTACCGAGTGGTGCTCCGTTTTCGATGCTGAAGTTTGTGGTGGCTTATCCGGTTGGTTTCCATCTGCATACGGGAGAAGGAAAAGGATAAGTATGTGCATGTAAGTATACATTAAATTATGTCAACAGAGTTTGCAAACATACATGGTTCGATGCAAATGAGTATGCCAGTACAGACCACTTTTAAAAAAATGCATCTATAATCGAACTTTTAACCACACTATTGAGTCATGTTTTCAAATATAATATATTAACATGCATATCTACAAATAACCTAAATCGATGGTAGCTAGCCCTAATCAACAGAATTTCATTGCTACGTTGTGCGTCTACCGGGAATTCCTTCGGCAAAATATTGGTCACTGGAATGGTTACGGAATTACAACTATATATTCCCGATTACTTATATAGAATTTATGGCCACGATTACGCATATAGAATTTATAATATATATATATATATATAAATATATATATATATAAATATATATATAATTATATATAATATATATATATATATATATATA